GTGTTTATAGGATTTTTCCTTTCTTACGATTGCTCCATTGTATTCCCCTTTTAAACTGTTGCAAGAACGTAATTGGTCGAATATTCACTGTGGGGGGAGGAGGGGTGTTAGATAGATATAGAGTTGTAGTAAGTAGATAAAGTTCGCTATGATTGAGGTTTCGTCAATGCATAGGGTAGATTCTTTTAATTACATTTCCTTTGAAAAAACTTTTTTTTTTACATTTTGGATTTGCTTGGCGAGCTACTTATTGAGGGCGATCGACGTGTTGGAGACCCCTGATGTAAAGCATACAGGGCAAAAAGTAAAAAGCATGTAATGTAATCGAAAAGGTTAAAAAAATAAATGCAAAAATAAATAAATTATCGTATCCGATTAAAAATTCTGATGTAAAAGGAAACTTAAGTGACCTGGAAGTGGTTGCTAAGGCCTTTGTTGACAACTAGCCGGACGCCCTCCATCTGCATCGGGAACACCTCTGAGAGGAAAAACATGAAGATACAGAAAGACACATCGGTTAGCAAAATCAGGAAGTGCAGGTATGGAATTATAAAATACTTAAGTGTATAATTATCTGAAGCAGGACTCGACTCAAATCACTCTCCACGCCCTTTAGTTACCTTTGCACTTGCGATGACACTCATCGAACGCCCCCGGGTTGGACAGAGAGTTCTCGTCCTCCTGCTCTGAGGCTGCCCCATCGGGGGGTATGACCGAGGAGACTGGAGGCATCCCAAAGCCTGGGGGCACCGTCAACCCGGGGGCAGCGGCCACACCGCCTGAGGCAGGGGGCGGGGGGTTGGGGGAGCTGGCAGCCAAAACACTGCCCATTCTGTCAGAGAGGAAATAGATCCAGAGGGTGAGTGTTAGCATGTACATCATCACAGGAGAGGACATTAAAGCAACCAATTGATAAGATTGGGCACTTGTGGCTGCCACACTTTACTTCATCAACAATAGCAACGTTATTAATGCAGGCAGGTTTTAGTTGAATAAAAGTAATTTAAAAAAGCAACATTTTAATATTAGGGGACTAGCAACTGATTAATACCCCAGTGTGAGTCCAGTAAGCTAAACATATTCTGGATCCTACATCTCACATAGTGAAACACAGAAGTGTCTTGCGTTAGAACTAACTTGATTTATCCTGAATGGAAATGTATGCTAGGTTGTTCATATCTCAAGTGTAATCTTGGTGAGTTACATATGTATGAGAAGCACTTAACATCTCAAGGCAGTTATTCGATTGAATAGTTTGTAATGCAGGGTTGTTCATATTTTTTATTAGGTTAAATAACATGAGTAAAGAATATAAAAGCAAATTAATCTGCAAGAACTGCAAAGAGATTCATATTCTTTGAATACAAACAATGCATTTTTCAGAAGAAATATTAAGAGAGGGTAGATATGATCAACAAAATATCTTGACAATTTACTTTGTTGTTTTGCATGTCGGCAGGATGAAATACATCCTATATTTTGTCTCTGATTAATGATTTTCTTTTATTATTTTCTGCAAATAATGATTAGTCGTCCACAACACCAACATATTTGGACCAATGTGATAAGGCAGAGAGTACTTATGAAGTATTATTGAAGAAATAGACTAAATGCCTCATTATTATTCTTATGGTTGTCATGAAAACAAGTTTTCCAAACAGGTGCTTATGTCAACAAGAAAACCATAAGGACATCAGGATTATTTACATTCGACATAGTGTGTCCTAAGCTTCAGGTTTAACTCACGACGTGAGTAAAACCTAACATGATGAGGACACTGATCTTACTGAGTGTAATCGGTGGAATGCCCCTTTAACCTTTCACACAGATCATGTTCATTAATATTAAATTGGAGCAGCAGCAGGTAAGTACAACCAGCTGATAATAAGGAACAATAGCGTTATATGATTTACATCAATAGGAAAGTATTGACAGCTTAATGCTTTTTTAATTAAATGTACCTAATGTTTTGAATGAAACCTGCCTCACCTACAAGCCAGTATGAAAAAGTTAGCTAAGCTTGCTATCTAGCTAGCTAGCTTTCAACCAGCAGCTGACAACCTTAATACAAACAGGTTGTCGCAGGTACATGTAAACACAGACCACTTTGCATGATTAACATTTCCGAAAAAAAGCACCAAATATTTTCATATGTTTCCAGTAAAACCTCTTGTTTTATAAAACATAAAGCTAACGATAGCTACTCACGTTGTGATTTCCAGAGGACGATGCAGCCGGAAGTTGAATCCGGAGGTACCAAAGAAAAAGAAGCATGTGACACTCCGGCCCGCCTATCGATACATTACGATTGGATGACGGGCCATGACCCTGAACAATGATTGGGTGACACCCCTGTCATTCAATGAATGTGTCTGCTGGTAAGAGGGCGCGGTTTAACGTGTGGTTACTACGCTCAAGCGCTATTGGCTCATTGCAGAGCAGTCAGTTGCAGATGGGCGGGGTGTTTATTTCGGAGGGCACTAATTGGTGGAGAGCTGCAGACACCAGAGCGGATTTGGTCAAATGTTATGAGGGATTCCCCTCAAGGTCAAATGGCAGCTCAAGGGTCTTTCACAATGTTTTAAAAATAATGTGTGTATTCGGTGGCCGACACACTCAATAACGCCTGTCCCCTTATCACGACACTACACACAGTAGCCGGTTTCAGTCTAATTAGGGAGCAGTGTGCACCTGTGTGTAAGGTGAAAGTATTACTGGAGGTGATGGCCAATAACCGTCAACTGCCAATTAACGGCATAATATGTGATCGATGTGTCAATATTATATTTAAGGAAAGGTTTTTTAGATTACATTTTGACAAAAGGTCACTTTAAAGTCACTTACATTACTTGGTTGGACTGATATATGTATAATACTTTGATGTAAATGTTACATTTGTACTTATTTACTTCTCTACTATAGAAGTGTTATCACCTTTATTATATAATATACTGCATTATGTTACATTAAACATACTTTGATATGATGTACAATAATCCTCTTAAACCATCTTGCCTCATCATTCACTTATTTCTCTATGCTTTTTTCAACAGAACTATGGGTGCATAATTATTCCGCTGTTTACATATCTATTCAACTCACCGTTATTAATCATACCGTGTCACTTACCTTGTAACTTTGTCTATATTTGCTATTTTAAAGTTCTGCATTCTTTATAGTTTCTACTTTTTTGCTAGTATATACCTCATGATCTTAAATTGTATTTCTAGTTCTCCATCTGTAATGACCTCTGTCCATGTGCTGCTGCAACACCTGCATTTCCCCCTGGGGCTCAAGGCTTATCTTACATGCATTTAGTTTTTCACAGAATCACACTAATGAATATTGCAATCCATTCCAAACAAACCACTAAGAATGAGTGAGTACTGAGTGGTGTACATATGCTACAACAGATAGAAATACTGGTTATAATTCTTTAAATCTGGTCATATCAATCAACAATGTAATAAAACAGAACACAAGGCATTGTCAATTTCAGTTCAATTTATTGAATTTATAACCCCTGCATGTTTTTCCCTGTTACAACAGTAGAGGACAGAGTGCTCAGCAGGAGTTGTTGGAATACCTCGTGCCTCTGCAATGCAGTTCGTAAGGCGAACAAAAAAAACCAATGTAAGAATTACATTTTTCTGGCACCACTTGAGTTGAATTCTAATGGTATGAAAAGGAAATGATTGGGGAGTGAGGGAGGAAAATACATAGATTTCCAAAACACTGGTTTTAGGTTATTACAATCCAAGTCAAAAAATGACATGACAATGTGGTTTAAAATTGTTTTGGGGAAAGTAGGGCCACAAAAAGTACCAAGTACAGGAAAGACTGAACTCACATGAAAAATATGAACCAACATTTTTGGATTACCACTCCTTATTAAACACTGCAATTGCAACTCTATCCTCCGCTACATTAAAACAAAAGAGAAAATAATTTAAGAGCCCATTTAGAGTCTGCCTTCTATCCATGTTGCAGGGGAAATCCTACTGTGACTCAGCATACAACAATTGTGCTGAGCTCAGAGTTTAGTTTGGCAGGAAAGGCCAGAAGCGTGGGCCAGTCTACATTAGTGCAGCAAATGAACCCTTCCAATTCAGTTGAGCTTTGCACAGTAGAAATATTAGAGGCAGTCCATCCGTTAATACTTGTTTTGAGTCAATTAGTCAACTTTTCTCCCCTTCCCAACCAATTTAGAATTTGTAGAATCCCAAAACTGCCAGTTTGAATCCAAATAGTCACCCTTTTAAATGTTTTTCTTCCAAATAAGTAAAATATCCCTCCCCCCGTGTCAGCACTCCTGACACACACACACACAGATGTCTCGATAACACCAGATGACAAAATCAACAATCAGAATTGATCATATCCTCCTTTGTGACTTCTGTTGAAGACTCCTAGAGACTTAGATTTGACTTTAATGTCTCCATTTATCAGTATTGTGTATGGAAAAAAGAAAGTTGTAATAACGGGGACTTTTTTTACTTTAAGGTTGAGGTAAAAGTCTGGGATGACGTCTAATGTTGAGTCTAAAATGTAGCCAATGTTGAGTTTATGACAAGATCAGGGAGGTAAACTGATCTCTTTGGAAAAATTGCCCAAATATTCCAAACAAGTAACAAAAGGATCCCCGATTACTGTGTGTGTCATTTCTGGTGTTAGAGTCACAAAGGAGATCATGGAATGACTGTCAGGGATGTGATAGGACACATAAAACATTTGAAATAACAAGTGACATTTGTCCTTAGAGGTGAGAATGATGTCCTCAAATTGAGCTCCTGGGATGAAGAAAGATGGAAAAGGTGAAACAATAAATCACATCCCTGACAACTGTAAACAGACATACTGATATTTAAGTCATCGCCAACAAAGACAAAACGAGTCTGCACATGAGAACAAAAGAAAGACATGGTTATGTTTACATGCAGCCTCAATGTTATTAGAATTCTAAATGATCCATACAATTAACCAAGTTGGTGCAAATGTCTTTGAAACGGTCATATTGTCTGGTTTAGTTGAAGCTGCATTTAAACTTAACCATTCTTTAACTAAATCAGCCAGTCACAGCTTCTCTCTCTCAAAACACAAACATACATTTTTTAACAGTTGCATGACACACACACTGACACACACACACTGACACACACACACACACACACACACTGACACACACACACACACACACACACACACACACACACACACACACACACACACACACACACACTGACACACACACACTCACTGACACACACACACACACTCACTGACACACACACACACACTCACTGACACACACACACTGACACACACACCTTTCATACACACACACACACACACACACACACAACATTCTCCTTTTTTGGTTTGCTTCAAAGTAAATCCCAACTTTCTGTTTCAAAGAAGAAAAAAAACCTCCTCGTTCATGAAGCAAAGTATTTTCTTTTTTTGTAGAATTGTAAACAACTAGTGTAAACAATTAATCATTTATAATTGTGTTTCCTCAAAATGATTCATGACACCTCGTATAAAGATAGCCCAAGAACGAAACGAGGTGCTGGAAATACGTGGTGGCGCTTCAACCCGTCACAAACAAACATGGAACAGGTTCAAGAAGATCTTAGCGCTGCGACGATTTCCAGAAACCCCCTCCTGTTTAACTCAACGCTCTCCGGAACTTAAAACATGGAGAAAACAAGGTACTGTGAAGGGAACTTGAAATCAAAGCTTTTGTCTTTGCTTTAAGTACCAGAGAGAAGATGCCCAGAGAGCATCTGATAAAACACTTGGCTTTTGCAAACCCACCCAAAAAAAAAAAAAAAAACCTCCACAGTTACCCAAGGAAGCCTCACAACTCCTCGCCCCCATTTTAAAAACACCTTTAAGCAACATCAAAAAATAAATCTTAAAAGCAAAAATACTTTCTTTTTTATGTCTATTTTCTCATCATTTGTGACGCTCTGTTAGGGGAGGGGGAAAAAAACTAAAACAAGGAGGTCACAGCTGCCTGTTCAGAGATGCTACAATTTTGCTTTCAAACACAGAGCCCACCCCTCACACCTTTAGAATAATTATCAAACATATCTGTGCTGAAAAAAAAAAAAGATATTGCTGCCGCTTCAGAAAGAAAACTGATTTCCAGTTCAATTGAAGGACAATGTTGTCCCTTTAAAGACTTTATGACAACGTCTCATAATCCAGAATTCAAGCTCATACAGCCAGAAGAGGAGTTTCTAATGCAACAGCAGCAACTAAACCCTGGGAAATATGCTGGTGAGCTTGGCATTGGGATAGAGTATTCACATATACATTCACCAACTTCAAATTTGAACATGATGGGGATTTAAAAAAAAAAAAAAAAAAATAATAATAATAATCAGGATTTGCAAAAATGCTCCTTGTTTTTCCACAAAATCTTAATTAATCTGAAGCAGTCGGGAAAAATTTACACTATTGTTTTGCACAAAACTCCATAAAAAAAAGTATTCATTGGACCCGTTGTTACTGAAATTTGTATCAGCTTATTATCTGCAAATGTTTCCATCAAAGCTGCTGAGAAGCCGCCTCTGACGCTCCTGTGCTGTAGCAGCGTGCAGGAGGAGGACAGTTTGTCATCAACAGCTTCCCTGGCCAATGGGTTTACAGTATTCACCAGCCTAATAGGATGTTATTTCGTATTTATATAGAACAGCCATAATGTCACAGCATGAGGCTGCTATTAATCCCCCGTGCTGCTGAGCGGCTAACATCCGTGAATCAGTATGGGGCCTTGTGTTTTTACCCATCTGAACTCATTATTATTCATAGGGAAAGGGAAAAACAGTCACGCAGTATTTAAATAAAGCTGCCCTTTCTTTTTTATTGCAATGTTCACATTAAAAATAAACGTTCACATTCAGGATGTTTTTTTAACGGAGATTGTTTGTGTGTGTTGTCTTTTCCCTTGCATAATGGATGTTTTTTTAATTAACTGGGGTTTAGGTTAAATTCATCGTAGTTGTGCTCGTACTCTGCTGCACAGCGACAGGAAACAGCAGGCTATGAATGGATGAGTGCACATGGGAGTAGAAGTAAGGCACTTGAGTGACGACAACAGTGTGAGTGGACAGGACGATGGCCGCTGGGAGTGCACCGCTTCAACGTTAAAGAGGCTGCGATAATGGAAGCCGTCTCCAGAGCGACGGCTTCTGAACAGTTTGATGCTCATTTGAGCTGCTGTGTCACTGAGATACTA